CCCCCCCTTTTTTCCTCCTTCACAAGGTGCACTTGGTTCCTCTGTCAGACACAAGACGGATGTTTGTGACACCCATTCATTAACCAGTCCTCTACACATGCCATCTCCAGGCATCGAAACACCTCAAAGTGAGGCAAAAAAGTCCCCGAGCTAAGACCAAGAGGAATGCCACAAGGAAGCATCTGTTTTAAGCTGCTGCTTTATTTCTAGTCCTAGAGGCCACAGACAGAAAAAAAAACCTGTAGACAATCCCTTTCCCAAATGAAAGCACACTACGCATTCCTCTCCTTGCCTTCCCAAAATGAAAGCTTTAGTGAAGTACTTAGTCTGTAAGTGAGCATTTCTCATGGTGAAGCACAGGGCAGAAATACTGACTTCACCTGTTGCTCATTTTTGCATACAAAGTGGATTTGTGCCTCGCTGCAGGCTGCTGACTTCTGTGTGGTGCGATGTTTTGGCACATATGCCATTGGAAAGACGGAAAAATAAAGAATCGGTCATATCGCCAGCAAATGTTGGAGCAAGCCGTCTGCACAGATTCCATATAGCTGTATTTTTCAGCCATTTTGTGACATTATTTTTGCATAGGCACGCTCCCAGTTCAAAAAGCTTGGGGTAGACTTTGTCAAAGTGTTACAGCTTGTTCGGTTCTGCTCCCACTGAAGAAAGACTCCCATTGATTCAGACAAATTGGAAAGCTTTGGGAAAAAAATTGCCTGTCCTTTAAGAAAGCTCAAATTTCCCTTATTATCCCTGTGGATTTGAAACAGCTTTTGGGTTACAGGGGTTTTCAGTTGGTTTTTTTTTTCATATGAGAAGAACGGGCTGAAGTGAGGGCTGGACATGACAAGCACAATGGAAGGAGTCAGTGGGCACTGCCCCACTGGTTTTCTGTTTTGGAGTAGGAAAATATCCTGACAATCCTGGCTGTTTGGGTCAGGGAGCAGATCAGGCCTCTTGTAGGTACAGGCTAAGGACATTTGACACAAAACGAGTCTGGTAACATTTACTCCAAAATAAAACGTACTAAGGTATACAGCCCTAGTTATGGGCGGGGTTGGAAACAGCCCAAAACAAACACACACACACATTTCTCCATTTTTATTCACCTAACATCCCAGGGGAGTTTTAGAGTGCAGCACTCCAACCCATTGTCCAAATTTTAAATGTAATTTAATAGGCACTGATCTGCAGGCTACAAGAACTAAGTACCTGCCTGAGAACTGAGAATGCCTGGGAAGGTTACGATCCCACAGATGCTCCTTCAGAAAAAGCAAGGAATGATTTTAAAGGGTGTTCATGAAACCCACCCCCAGTGATGATTATCTGTGGTTTGGAAACCTCCAGAAGCCCCCACCACTAGTAGGCACCATTTGTGCTGGACATCTAATAATCTTACAGACGTTGACCCTGTGAATGGCAGCCCTGGACCCAACCTCTTGTCCCCAGCGTCCCTTAGGACTGACACCTGCATGTCCCCAATCTCCTTGTCCTTTAGGATTTGGACCTCCCTGTCCCCAGTGTCCCTTAGGGTGGTGACATCCCTGTCCCCAACATCCTTTTCTCAGAAACTGGGACATCCTTGTCCCCAGTGTCCTCGGGGTGGTGACATCCCTGTCCCCAATGGCTTTGTCCCCAGGAGCTGGGACATCCCTGTCCCCAACAGGTGACCCCGAACCCCATGCCCTGCATCACTTGTGACTGAGATCTCCTTGTCCCTGATGTCCTCATCCCTGAAGCCTGGGACGTTCCCGTCCCCAAAGTCCCTGGTTTCCTTGTCTGCCAGGGCTGTTGTGATGGTGATGGTGATGCCGCTGGAGCGGGATGGGAAGGATGTAGGGGGGGACAGGTCTGTGGCCACTGTGAGCTCATGAAGGTCCAGGATCCTACGGTGAAGGTTCTCTTGCAGCTCAGCAAGACAGGAGATCCTACAATAACAAAGGGGCTGCAGGGAGGAGGGGGCTGGGGTGGCTGCGTTGTCATGGGTCTGTCACAACATGACCTTCTTTTGGGGTCTCTGGAGGCTAGGGGGTTTGTTATTGCAGGGTCTCTGAGAAGTGTAGGGCAACAGGGTGTGCTCTCGTAGGGTCTCCAGGGCAGGGTTTGTTATTGTTGGGTCTTTGGGAGAATAAATCTGTTATTGCAAGATTTTCAATGTGAGAGTTTGTCGTTGTAGGGTGTCCTGAAAGAACATCTGTTATTGTAGGGGCTTTGAGAACCATGTTTATTGTTGTGAGGGTTCGCAAAAAGCAGATTTGTTATTGTAGGGTCTCAAGGGGTATTTCTGTTGGGTGGGTTTGTGTTGCAGGGGGAGGGGGGGGTGTGTTTGTTATTGTAGGGTTTATGGTACCTGGAGGGAGGCACCGGTGATGATGTCACCAGGGTCAATGATGTTGCCCAAGGATTTGCTCATCTTGCACCTGTGGGTATCATGCACCAGCGAGTGCAGAAGGACCTGGGTGGGAGGGGACAGCCAGAGCTGGGGGACATGGTGTTGAAGTATAACCCTGCTTATTTTGTGTGAAATGTACTTTGTGTATGTTAAGTTGACAAGTTAAGGCTGTAATCAGAAAGGCACACAGTTAGCATTCGTTGAGTAGGGACATTCTGGACCAACTGAGCCTTGTAGAGGCAATTAATCCAACTTGGCAAGAATACTCAAGGCCTGTGAGGAAGAAAAGCAGTTCCTGAGCTAACAAGCAGGATAATTGGACCTAAGGAATGCAGAAAGGGATAAGTAAGTGACTGTCGTGTGGGCTCATAAATCTGCACGCTTGCTAACCACTACAATCCTTGCAGAGCAACTGAAGACCGATGAAGAGGAACATCCTACCCCAGAAGACCACTAGGTTGGAAAGTTGACACGTGAAGTGTAAAGTCAGCAATAATCAACAGTAACTGGGGGAAAGGTAAAGGTGGCAGAGGAAGATCACGACCACCGACTCAATTCAGGACCGAAAAGACTTGCCCGCCCAACACCTGTAAGGAGCGCGTGTGCTAATTTACATAGCAAGCAAGGCTAATTTAAGTATAAGTAACCAATAATACATGATGCTGTAATTACTAACCAGTCATCGTAAAAAGGGTGGACATAGAAACTTAACTAACTTTACGTAGTTTTTATATATAAATATATCATGGAAAGTCCTGTTGGGTGTGCTTGATTTGTGGGAAACCACCGAGCACCCAGGATTGCGCAAATCTGAAACTAAATAAGCAACGTCTTCCTGAGTGTGTGCAAATTGACTGATGGCACACCGGGCTACAAATCCGCTTTTTGGACAACAATGAGACCCCTGAGGGGGGACATGGGACCTTGGGCAGGGGACAGGAGACTCCTGGGAGCTTCAAGAAAGTACCAGACACCCTGGAGAGAGGGAGTAGGGGACCCTTGGGGATGCAGGGGACACTAAGGACCCCCAAAGAGGGCAGAAGCCCCTATGGAGCCCCAAGGTGGGGACAGGGCACCTTGGGAAGGGGACAGGGGACACCTGGAAGCCTCAAGAAAGGACAAGACACCCCAGAGAATGGGAATAAGGGTCCCTGGGGACACTAAGGAGCCCCAAAGGGGGACGGGAGCCCCTGAGAAGGAATATGACGCCCAGGAGAAAGGGAAAAAGGGACCCTTGGGGACACTGGGGACTCCTGGGGGTACACATGGGAACACCAGGGAGCTCTGAGAGGCAACAAGGAACCCGTGGGGACCCCAGGGAGACGAGGAAGGAGTGAGACATGGAGGGGGTGTCGGGTCTCAGGAAGGGCTGTCGTGGGCAACGCCCTCCGGGATAGCCGAAGTTCGGAATACCCTCAGGCTAAGTTAAGGTGATATGACACCAAACAATTGATTGAAAAGTTTATTTATGGCAACAACAATTTGAACCTTTATGGCAGTAGCTATGTGAAACTTTATAACCAAACTGTTTGAACCTCTAAGCCTTATAATGGAGAAAATGGCCCTCAACGTGCAAGGAAGAGAGAGAAAAAGTAAGATAGAGGGATAGAGGTAAAGAGAATATCCAGATCACCACCCTGGGTTCCAGCGACGTCTCTGGTCCGGTCCCTTCGCTCTTTGGAGGGGTGCTATTTATAACACGGTCCCTGCCTCTAATCCTGCCTCATACGCTCATTACTTTGCATGCACAGTCCATCATTCTTTCACCTTCTAGAAGGGGGTTGGGGGCGGGGGGGGACTACTGCTGATTTTGATCCTCCTCACCCCTGTCAGAAACGCAGGTATCTCAGACTTACTTATTTGTCCAACATAAGGAAATCAACCCTAGAAAAGCACCATCCGGCCTTCGCAAGATCCTCTTTTCCAACTACACTTTATCGTGCCAAGGCATCTACATCCTTTTTCGTCAAGTGTTTGAGGCAAGGTCCTTTTTTTTTTTTTTTCTGATCAGTCTTTTACAAACTGCAATGTGGCCACATTTTTCCCGCCAGGCACTTGAGACATTAACCTTTTCAGGTAGCCTCCTACAGTGCTGAGAACAGAGTTGCTAACCCAGGGACGTGTTTGTTATTGCTGAGTAGCACTTGCACAGCACCAAGGGATTTTCTGCTCCTCAGGCTGCCCTGCCAGCGGGCAGGGAGGGGACATGGCGGGGACAGCTGACCCCCACTGACCACAGGGAGAGCCCATACCATGCGATGCCCTGCTCAACAACAAAACTGGAGGGGGGGTGGAGGTTGGCAGGGGCTGCCCTTGCTCAGGGACTGGCTGGGCATCGGTCGGTGGGTGAGGAGCAATTGCTTTCCTTTGCATCACTTGTTTCTCTTGGGCTTTACTTTCTTCTCTCTTTCTTGTTTGTTGGGTTTCTTTCTTACAATTTTTTAAAAAATTCTAAAAGTGTCTTTACCTGAACCCATGAGTTTTCTCTCTTCTACCTTTCTGATTCTCCCTGCCCATCCCACCATGGAGGATTGAGTGAGCGGTTGTGTGGTGCTGTCTCCAGCCAGGGTTAAACCATGACAACCTGTGAGCAAAACAGTTACATACTGATGGTGAGAGCGCTCATCCTTTGTCCTCCGTCAGGGTGTGGGCATCTCCTGTATGCACCGGGATGCACGAAAGCCTCAACGGTCCGGCTACTGTTGGAGCTGCCTCAAAAGCTTTTTTGGTGAGCTGACACATTTATATCTCCCAGCGTGGGAGTTAATCTTTACCATTGCTATTAGTTGGCGGGGGCCAACAGCCTGACCACCCATGTGGAAGGAGGATGGCTGCAAGGGACAGCAAGCTGCAGATGATGGTGGCTGCATAAGGACCTTCAGCCCTTCCCGGCCGCTGTGTCCTGCTTGCGTGCTGCCCTCACGCTGAGCTAATGGCACCGCTCTGAGGAGATACCCAAAACTCACCAGGCCATGGTCCTGGGCAACCTACTCAGGTGGGTTGGACCAGAGGACCTCCACAGGTCCCTTCCAACCTCCACCTTCTTAAGTGACTCTGTGCTGTGGTTTCACTCCTAAAGCACCCGAGCTCAGCCCTGATGCCTGTGGGAAAGGATGCTGGGAAAAGGGACAATCCCAACCTCCTCGCCCAGGAATCATCACAGAAAACCAGCTCCCCACCTCAGAGCGGTTCAGTCTGTGAAAAGGAATCAGCACCTGCAACAACACAGTCAGAAAGCTCTGCTAAATTTGTAACGGCAGGAAGAGGCAGGACTTGGTTCCCCTTTCTTTGGGGAACAATTTACAAGGAATTACTTATGGTCCAGAAGAGAGAGCGATTGCTGGCATTGACTATGGTGTGGCTCTGGCGGCTTATCCCCACGGGTAATGCCCAGTCTGTGAAAAGGAATCAGCACCTGCAACAACACAGTCAGAAAGCTCTGCTAAATTTGTAACGGCAGGAAGAGGCAGGACTTGGTTCCCCTTTCTTTGGGGAACAATTTACAAGGAATTACTTATGGTCCAGAAGAGAGAGCGATTGCTGGCATTGACTATGGTGTGGCTCTGGCGGCTTATCCCCACGGGTAATGCCCTTAGAGACCCGTGCCTGTGCAGAGATGCACAGTGCCCCTGTGCCACGTAGCAGGGCTCATGGGGAGCCCCCGGGGAGCTGCCATGGGGTTCTTCCCCAACCCTGTGCAGCACCATCCCTCGCCATCCCTTGCCAGCGAGTTGGACTGACTGAGAGCAGTGCTGAGAGTTGGGAAAGGTGGGCAGCAGAGCCTGGTACCAACCTGGCCTTCCTGACCTTCTGCACCTTCCTGCACCTTTTCATTGGTCCATCCTCAAAAATGTTTCCTCTCTTTCTCCTCTTCTTTTCTCTGCAGCTTTCCCTCTCCTCTCCCCAGGCCTCTTTTCTCTTTGGAGTTCTTTATTTCTCCTTGCCCTGGGAGGAGCCTGCAAACCTTTCCATCCCACAGTGGTATTAGACAGGGAAAGCCACGGCCCACTGGAGTCAGTTCTGATTTTAATCAAAGGCAGCTTCTTTTACCTTCTGTCCTCTGAAAGGCTCGCCAGCTCTTCTGGGTGCCCCAGGGAGTCTGCCTCGCTCTCAGGGCTGGTTGAAGGCAAAGCTGGAGGTGCCTATAACAGAAATGTCAGAGTTAGCAGGTGGCAAGAGACAACCTGGAGCAGTAAGCGACTCTTTGCCAAATTGCTACCTTAGCTCTCCAGAGGAGATCCCTTGGCTGCTTTGCATCAGCCACATTTTGCACAGTCCCCCTGCCCCATCCAAAATAGACTTGATGAAGCTCTGACGAAGTAGGACCTGAGCAAAACCTCTCTCAAGTTGACAGCTACTCCCGTCTGGCTTTTTGTAGAGATTTTGTAGGCATTTTCTTGGATTAAGCACATGCCTAGTGGATTCAAGAAGTCACCTTGCCAGTTTTCCTTACTAGGTATCATCCCAGCGGGTGGAGGAACAACCGAGACCCACACCAGCTCTGCTGCCAGGCAGGGGCACAGCAGCAACTCGGCCTCATCAGAAACTCCCCTCCTACACCAGACCCGCTGTCCCAGCGTTTGGGGACCTGACATACCTCTCCCATTGCAGACTCTACCACCGCATCTCCCCCAGCTTCTTTGAGGACACCGAGCAGAGAGTGGGATGCACATAGCAAGGCTCGGTGTCTGCTGCGGCTGCAGGGACACTTTACTCTTCCAAACACAATTCTGGAAAGCAAAAGCACGTGCAGTAAGGTGACTTCTTAGAAGTAAACAACAGCTACAGCAAAACCCACCCAAAACCCTACACCACTTCTGTTTTCAGCCCTCTGGTGCCCTGTCTGCAGGCTTCAGCTCATCTTGCAGGGCAAATCCTTCATGCCCTGAGAGGCAGCAGCCAAACAGAGGCCACGGGACAAGCAGGGCCGAAAGGACAACACTCAATGCCCAGCCTTGCCAGAAACAATGCTGAGGTTTCTGGTGTCCCAAGCCGCAGCCTGGGACAACCCTCAGTCCCTCCTCCTTACCTCTGGGTCTCTCCGTGGGGGCTGGCGACTCCTCAGCTGCTGGACAGGAAAGCTCAGTTGCCTCCTCTGTAAAGAGTTCCCTGCAGTTCTCCATCGGGAACTCCAGCACCGCCTTCACGTGAACACACCAAACCCTTGGTCTCAACCCTACTGCCTGAAACAAGACCAAGCAGCCTCTCAAACTCTTGCCCCTTTTCTCTGCTTAAAGGCTGTGGCGTGGGGGCGCCTCTGCCAGGCAGCCACCCCACCAGCATTTGCTCAAGAGAGAAGGCAGCCAGGGACCCTCCAAACAGCCAAGATCTGATGGCCCGGGAAGGCCGCAGCCGTCTGCTCAATAGAGCGTTACCTTCTCCGTCACCTCCAGCATGGCCTCCAGCGGGAGCAGCTCCTCGTCGGGTGGGCTCAGCAGGTTGGGCCCAAGGCAGATGGCCAGGTTGCTGCAGCTCATCCTGCTGGTGGTTGCGTTGTGGCCGATGTGCTGGAGGAGGGACAGCAGCCACTTCAGGAGGAGGAGGTTGGCTGCAGGCAGCTTCTTGGACACACTGAGGGAACAAGAACACAACATTCATCAAGCAGACGTTGCCCACAGCCATCCCCCAGACTTGCCCAAGGCAGGCGGGAGCCAGCGCCTGTGTTGCACGGCTTTCCAGGTGCTCTCAGCCAGCGACCAGGGCTCCTGCTCAGCAGGCAGGCTGCTGCCCACATTTACGCTTTCAGCTCTTCCGTCTTCTCCTCCTTGCCAGCCTTCTGCATGGCTGCCATCCAGTCCTCGTAGAGGTCTGTCATGAGGAGCTTGGTGGGGATGCTTCGGAGGAAGTCCTGCAATGCCTTGTATACAACCCTAAGATAATACTGCAGAAGAATTGGAAAAGAAACAAACAAACAAACTAAAAACCACCAAAAACCAGACTCGACAGGCAATGTATTAAATGTATTAAGTCCCATTTCAAACAGAAGACTAAAGAGAAACTAACACAAAGCAAGTGGGAAAGTGGACAGAAAATAGGAGGAAAAGGCTAATCTCGCTGCTGGAGTGCTACATTTAAACTACAGTGGTTTCCTAAGACCCAACAGCTTGGCTAAACTACGAATTCAGCCAGGAAGGATCAGAGCTGTGCTTGTCGGTCCTAAAACAATGGGCATGACTCCCTCCATTTCTGCAGCCACTAAGGACAAATACCAACTAGAGATCCTTGCAGTTACTGAAATAGTAACACTAAACCAAAAAGGATCCACTCCCTTGCTTTGGCTGCAGGAACAGCAGGACAGCATCACCAAGATGGAAGTGTAGAATGACAGCTAACAGAAGAGCAAGGCGATGAAGAAATATTCAAAGGATAAGATTTTGTGTATCCTCTTGAAAAAAATCTTAACTCATTTTAATTCTGCTGCTCTACTGTTCAACAATAATTGGCAAGCTTTCCAGTACTTTCTTCCTAAGATCCACACTAAGATCCAGGTTCTGCTTTGAAACAGGTACAGAAATATGTGCATTAAAACCAAGCCAAACCAGGCCACCCCCCCACCCCCACTTTAGACCAAGACCTGAGTTAGCTTTAAGAATAAAGCTCATTGTGTCTCCAACACCAGAAGCACCTGAGGCTGCAGAGCTTTTACAGCATGACAGAGAGAGAGGACTTGTCAAGAGAGATGCAAGGCTTCCACCCTCCCCTGTGGCTACCCGCAACCCAAATCAGGTACAGTCCTGATTTAGACCTACATATAAAAAGTTTTCAAATTTAAGTTGATGGTATACCATTCCATGAGAAGCAGAGGCCGTATTCTTCACAGAACACAGACCCAGAGTTGATGATTTTCTAGATTAAGTTACTGTAACGGCTTATCAAGTGATCAGATCCAATGATCCAGGATTAGTGTAATGCCTCACACTGACCTCATGAAGAAAAAGCAGTTATACTTGAAATAAAGACAAAAAAATAAAAATCACCACATAGTAATTTTTGTACTATAAGGACTATTTTGACATGCATAGTTACGCATAGTGTTTGACCCAAGTGGCAAATCAAGATCTAGACCATTACCAGTCAAGTCTTTCCTTGTCTTACTGACTTGTATTGTAGCAGCAGAATGACGGTGTTTTCAAACCTGAATAAAAATGCTGTCCCTTTTCCAAATGTACATTCAAAGTGGTAGCATACAAAAGAAAGGCTTAGCCTTTGGGAAACTAAAGCAGCATCCAATGCTGAAGTCACCCAGATCCAAAAATGTAGTGCAGGCAGAAGTTAAGAAAAATGCCAGGTATTTCACCCACAAATGCACCAGGCTACAACTTGGGCTGAAATTTGTACACTGGATTTTAGATATTTTCATTTGCAGACAAACTAGTAAGCTTAACTGCTTCATCAGATAAAGTGGAAAGATCAAATGCAGAGCTTTAGAATACCACTTTGTGTAGCAATGAAGATTTAAATTCACGGCGATCTATCGAAGTAATTTATGTACTCAGAGGGGCCCAAACAATATCACTTCAATTATACAGTTTTAGGAACAAATACCCAAGTATTTAAGGACATGAAAAGGAATCGTTTAGCTGCGCAGAACTGTCCTCAAAGCGCATGGCATATGTTGGTTTGGGTATTTGTTTGAGCCCCCCAAGTCAAAAGCAAGAACCAGTACCAAGTTTAACAATAATGGTTTCTCAGTGATTTTTGATAACATTTTCAAAAACAATTGGGCAAAAAAAAAAAAAGTCTTTAAAAACAAAAGCTAAGTGATACATTGTGAAAATGGCAAAAAATACACTCCAAACAATTGTTATTGCAAGAAACAAAAGGCACACAACAACCTATACAAACATGCATGTTACCAGCTATAGACACACAGGTGTAGAACATGGCACCAAGTTCAACTGTGCAAACCCTGAACCTACATGGTTGAAAACTGATCATACGTTTTCTGTACAACACAAAGTCATACGGGAAATATTCTAGCATGTTCAACATGAAATACAATGTTTCACTAGGCACAAATACCAATATTCACCTTAGAACTCTGCAGGTGATGGCATTACTCAGTTTTTACTATGCTGAATCAAATACCTTGTATTTCTAACACATACTACATTTTACTGGAAAATATATTAATTTAATGTTTGGAAAATGAATACAAGGTTCCATTGTTTAGAATTGAGTGCAGTGTGTAGAAAAAAGTGTGAGATTGTGTTTTTACATACTACTTTTGATGTTCCACTCACTGGCTCAGTTCGACTTCTAGAAGAAGAACTAAAGGTGATCAGAACTTACGATAAAGCACTTGTACTTAACATAAAGCAGTGAAAACAGATTATAAAACCTGAACATCAAAACATTATGTTCTGATAGTCTAGTGAGTGTGGAAACTTAGTCGTATACATAAACTGTTCCCTCTGTACATTTAGTGCAACTAAACCCCCCCCCCCCCCCAATCCCCTTTCTCTTTTGT